TTTTTTTTTTTGAGAGAAAGAGAGAGAGAGAATCTTGAGCAAGCTCCACACCCTGCAGAGAGCCCAATGCGTGGCTTGATTTCATGACCTTGTGCTCATGACCTGAGCCGAAATCAAGAGTCAGACCCTTGTCTGTGCCATCTAGGTGCCCCCTAACTAATCTTCTTAAAGCACTGTTTTCACCACCACATGGCTCCTGTGATGTCTCTTCTACCCTCTCTGTCCCCTTTTTTTAAAAGATTTTATTTATTTATTTATTTATTTGACAGAGAGAGACACAGCAAGAGAGGGAACACAGCAGGGGGAGTGGGAGAGGGAGAAGCAGGCTTCCTGCAGAACAGGGAGCCCGATGCAGGGCTTGATCCCAGGACCCCGGGATCATGACCTGAGCCAAAGGGAGATGCTTAACGACTGAGCCACCCAGGTGCCCTCCCACCCCTCGCCTTTCTTCCTTTCATTAAATAACACTCTTCATCACAGCCTTTAAACCAATGTCCTCACCTTACCTGCCAGTTTTTCTTACCTATCTAACTCAAGGCTTTTTTTTTTTTCTTAAATCTGGGATGTAGAAATTTTTCAGATTAGATTTTATTGTCTATGAATGCCTGAATGTCTATATAAAATCGTGTGTATGTGTGAGTTTTTCCTGAGAGAAGATCCATTTCAACAAGCAACCCAGAGGACCCAAGATACCACGGAGGTGAAGACCCTTCCTATCTTCAGTCTGGTCTCCCTCATGCCCTCTGCCAGGGTTCCGTGAGCCTCCCTGACCTTGGTAGTCCTGCCGTTCATCCCGTCCTCTGTCGTCCGACACAGAAGCCCTCCTTCAAGGCTAGCTGAAGACGTACCTCCTCCACTCACCGCACTGAAGCTCCTTACCCCTTCTCTGGCTCCGAGAAATGGCAGTCAAGTGCTGAGGCACCACCACATGACTGTGACACGCCCTCCACATTTCATGATGTACGTTGGCTCCCCTGAGGGAATGACAGGCAAGTTCCTCTGGAGGGATCTGCCGATCTTCAAGCCCCCCTCCAGCCCACACATGAGCGGGGTTGTGAGGAAGAGGAGCTGGGTGCTGGGCAGGACATGTCCATCACAGACTGACAGCGTTTCCTTCCTCAACTAGCTCAAATTTATCAACATGCTTCAAAGCATGATCTCCCTCGGGGCAAGAGGGGCAGAGAGGATGAATGAAGAGGTTTCTAAAGCAGGACTCTTGAAGTCATTTTTAAAAATAAAACTAAACAATCATAAAAAGAACACTTCTCCAGGCCCCCCTCATTTGCAAACCACATGACCGGCAGGTGTTCTCCTGAATCATCTTGGAGGAGTGATTCTAAATGTGTGCAGCTTCCTCCAGCTCGTGGCCCACACTGGGGTCTCCACGGGGTATCTTTTGATTGTGAAATATGATCGGTTCTGGGCACTCCTACCCACCTGCGTACTCATCTGCCCCTCACCGTGAGCCCTGCTTTTGAAATGTTACAGACATGCAGTAACAGACGTGACTTCCTCTTCTGTGATTCCTGGTGTGCCAAATCATAAATCCTGAATGTTACAATTGTATTAGCGGCTGGTCAGGCAGGTGTGATGAAATGAATATTGGGTCATCGACACATTAGCTGCAGATGGAAAACAATTAAACAGAGTGGGGGTGGGCAGGAAGAACATATTAAAAAAGCCACAGATCTGGCTTGATTGTGGTCCCTTCAATTTGTAGAAACATGACCGTTATCATCAAAGGTCAAAGTCAGTTACTGGTACAAAAATCAATAAAGTTGAGGTGGGGGAGGAAGGGATTGAAGAGATAAATTCAGGACATGTCTTCTAGATTGAAGGGACTTGGTGAGAATCTACATATTTTAAACTATTGGGAATAAAGCTGGTTGTCAGTAAACTGGACTGTTCATGTAGTTTTGTGGGTTCCTGCTATGAATAGGTTTTAAAGAATTGTATCAGTGCACACTAGGAAAGAAACAGAGCAAGGAGAGATTTTCAAATTGCATCTGCTTTATCACCCATTTTGTTAGATTCTTAGAATCAGATATTTGTGGTTTTTGTTTCTTTATGAAGGCAATCCATGGGCATGTTCTACCTCTCTGTGCCAATTACTGCAGAGGATCAAAAATCCTCTGGCAATCTGAGGCTAACAGTTCCATTATGTTTGTGTAACAAACTAGAAAAGAGATTCTAACTTTTGAACCCAGACCTCATGGTCTGAATGTATTACTCTTAACAGGATGTGTACTGTCTTGACTGAATGTTAGACTTAAAATATCTGCTCATTTCTTGGGGCCTGGGTGACTCAGTCAGTTGAGCGTCTGACTCTTGATTTTGGCTCAGGTCATGATCTCAGGGTTGTGGGATCGAGCCCCACATCAGGCTCTGCACTCAGCGGGGAGTCTGCTTCTTCCCCTTTCCCTCTATCCTCTGCCCCTTTCCCTGCTTGCACTCTTTCTCTCTCTCAAAAAAAAAAAAATCAAATTTGCTCATTTCTGCCCCTCCCCCTGCACCACCAGCAGTGATATAAGTACTGCCAGTTTTCCAAGTGCAATCTGTAGACCATCCCGTGCCGGGAAAGGTGCCATGCTCTGGCAAATGGCATTATGTAGCATCCTTTTCCATTAAGGGTACATGGGTGGTCTACCTCAAAGTGATTACATTTGCCATTTCTTAGCTGCCAACAAATGTATTTACTCATTAACACTTGATAGGTTGAATGCTCCCAAAGAGGGCTACTGAACAATTAAGTATGATTTAGATGAATTCTGAAGGCACCAGAAAGTAACTTCTCTAATGGCAGTTTTCTTCAAAGCATGATCTCCCTCGGGGCAAGAGGGGCAGAGAGGATGAATGAAGAAATGCCAGGTGAGGGGCATCGCAAAGGACTCTGGGGGTTTTAATCTCTACTTTGGCTGGCTGTTTAGTCACAGTAATCTAGAGGTCCTCAATTTTGAAAATTCAAATAAGATTTAACTTTAGGTTCGTGCTGTTTGTGAAAACATGGGCTGATAATCAGGAACTTAGTATTTTGTGTATTTTATGATCAAATGTTCACATACATTTATAAAAACTGCTAATTCCAAGTTATCATCAAATTTATTAAATCAGATCTGTTATGACGCTTACTTTAGAATATTCTGGAATCCATTAGCAGGTTTTTAAGGAACTAACAAAGGGTTCCTTTGAAAGCATCGATTGATTCAGCATGGAAGAAGCAGGGTATAGGAGAAGGCAACCAGGACTGGACTCAGAGGCCCTGGACACACACCCTCGTTCTGTCCCAAGAGTTTGCGCCAGGTGCTCACTCTCTTAAGACCTTAGCAACTCCTATAAGGGTCTGCTTCCTGTCAGGTTCCAGCTGGGCAGGCTCCATGTGACCTTTCTTCTGACTAGCCAAGTGACCCTGGAAGGAGCCATTACTCATTTCATTTCAGGGGAGGAAACATGCTGGAGGTTAAGTAGGCCGCCTAAACCCAGGTGTAGAATCACAAATGGTGACATGAGACTGTGGACTCTGTATGGTGCCACCCAGGTTCTGGCCAAGGCTGTCAGGATTAGGAGGACAAGGCCCCATGGGGGCTCCATTTCAGCCACATTTGGAGGTTTCTGCCCCAGAGCTCTGCTGTCCAAAACTACCAGTAGGGGATAGTCAAATGAAGCTATTTAAATCAATACTAAAATCTAAAACTCAGTTCTTCATTCACAATAGATACTTTTTGAGTATCTACTGGTGGCTACCATATCAACCAGCACAGATATGGAAGATTTCCACCATTACAGAGAGTTCTACTGGATAGTGCTGCTCTAAGTGTTGGCATTTTGCTCACTGGCTACAACCTATGACTCATTAACTGAACTTGACCTTGGTCCTTTAGCTACTTCTTTCCTCTTGTGGTCCATCAAACACCTCCAACCCTCCTGCCTCTAAGCCTAGACTTTCTAGCCATGATTTTCTTGGCATCCTTTATTCTCTTGCTCCTTGATATTCTGTTGGGCACCCCCTGCCAATCCCTAACCATTGGCAAGTCATATCCTTTTGATTTCCCTGCTCCTGTTTCTGGGATATAACGCAATACTGGAAACAATGATAAAATAATAAAATGAAGAGAATGTACTCTCTCGACCCTAACTGGGTCCTCCCTGCTTCTCAGCATTTCTTTGACTCCTCTAACAGATGCACTAACATATCCCTTATGATGCCTCTTTCCCAATACCTCAGACCTTCCACGATCCTCATTCTCCATAGATGACCCACCTCAGAGTCAGTGTCCCAGGAGGATGATACAGAAGCTGTTGCCATGAGCTTCTCCAACAAGTTCCTCTAGGTTTCCTTTAGCCCAAGTGATCTACCAACTGCTTTCCACCTGGGAGCACTAATTGCCTGCTTTCAGATCTTTGCTCATGTCTCTGCCAGTCAGAAGTTCTCTTCCCAAGCCCACCTCTGCCACAAAGCAGTTTTTGGATCATCCCATCTGAAAGCAACTTCTATCTTCTCCAAGTTTCTCTAACATTTTCTCTGAACCTCTCACACAAATTTCTAACTGGTGTTGCTTGTAACAATGTACAGGGCACCCTGTCCCTTCCCCACCAAACCACAACCATCATGAGAGGGGGTGCTTGATGGATTCAGCCTGCACCCCTGGCAGCAACTAGCATGGGTCTTTGTATAGATAATTCTCAGCACATACTTATTTAGTGAATATCTATATACCTATTTATGAAGATGTCAGATTAATTCCTAAGGTAGACAGATTTAATTTAATAATGAATTGATGAATACACTTCTTCTAATGATCACAACATGGAGATCTAGCTAAATGATTGCATTACCAGACCTTCTGATGGGAAAACAAGGGGGGTATTGATGATGAGAACTGTAATAAGTGGGGCTATAGCAGTGTGGAATATCATTCTTGGGGGGAGGTGTGGCACAGGGACAAAATGATAGAGAATGGGCAAACAACCAAAGAAAGACATCAAAGCTATAATAGACTTACCTTGGGTAGCAATATAATGATTGGGTCGATGATAACCCTAAAAATAAATGAGAAAAAATATTTCATCAACTTAAAATCGATAAGCAGCACAGAAGTTACACAGTAAGTTTGCCACAATGAATGCTTATACAAATACCAACAATTGCGTCAGTTGGAAGTTGAATGACCATATGCAGTACCACGGAGTTCCTCATTAAAAAGCAAAGAAGCATCACACATCAGAGTTCTGCTGCTTACATAGGGGGTGGGAGTAACTTAATCATACACTGGCTATGAGATGATAGGTGAGCAATAAATACTAACAACTTATGGATTCTCTGAAATAACATGACCACAACTCTTGTTAGATTGCAAACAGGCTGGGAACGTACAATAGGATTTCATTTGTGTTCAGGATGTTATTGGCAATGTGCCAAGGGCTTTAACACATATTCTGTTCTCCTGTTATAGGCAGTTATATCAATAGTGATACTGAACATCATTCTTAAATACTGCTAATGCCACGCCATGCTGTTGTAGCAAGAGCCAGAAATTTGAAGAGGCAGAAATTCTGCAAGTCCCCTTCCTTTTATCATGACTCTGTGAGAAGGGGAAAAGATGAAAATTGGGACCAAAGAAAGAAGGGAACAAAGAACACTGGAAGATCAATATCTGGGAGAGATAAAACCAATTTAGAGAAAATTACACACAGGTAACAGAATATCACCATGGACCTTAATACTTTCCATTTCTGTCCCCCGAGATTACCCAAAATACGTGCCCAAAGCCAGATGGGAAACAGGAGAAACTCGGAGAGGAAATACAGATTTCTCAGACAATTTAAATGCATATCTGTTAGATTTTTTTGCTCTTAAAAATAAGTCATTGATAATGAACAGCAAAAGCAAACACATTCTTTATATAACTGACCTGCTGTAGGTCCCAAAGATAGACCTTTGACGGATATTAAATAGGATTATTAAATGATCACTCATTTCTTGCCAGCTGACCCTGTCTGATGTACGGCCCCATGAATCAGCCCTAGCAAGGCTAGGAGATAGGAGGAAATTGTTTACAAAACGGAAATAATTCACACAGTCCATGAATGACCTGTGCTGCTAAACACAATGATCATTTCTCTGTTCTCATCTCTGTGACCTGTCACCATCTCCATGACACGATTAATCCCCCTGAAATACTTTCTTCTTTGCCTTCTGGGATATGACGCTCTCCTGGTTTTCTTCCTCCCTCCCTCCCTGGCTTGTCACCCTCATTCATTTGCCCATTCCTCCTCTTCGCCTTGATGTTGATGTTGGAGGGCCCAGTTCTTGGACTCTTTCCTCATCTACATGGACTCGCTTGGTGATCTCATCTGGTCCCACAGCCTTCATTGCCATCTGTATGCTGATGAGTTCTGTATCCTCACCTCTAGCCTGGGCTCCCCCCACCCCCCAAATCCTGATGTGGGATAATCTCCTACTCAGCACTTCCACTAAGATGTCTAATATATATTTAAGGATTAACATATCTAAAAGTGAATTCCTTAATTCCTCCCTACCTCCACCTGAATTTGCTCTGTCCAGTCTTCTTTCCAGATAATGGCAATTCCATCTCAAAAGGCATCCTGACACCTCTCTTGCTCCTATACCCCATAGATAATCTGTCAGCAAATCCAGGGCTCTGGGTTGAGCGTGGATCCAGGATCCTACCATTTCTCATCTTCCAGTGCCACCACCTCTCCGCTCTCTCGCTGCTCCTGTAGTCACCTGGGAGGTCTTCATGCTTCTATTCTCACCCATCTATGGTGTGTTCTCCTCTATACTTTGGGATCCTATCACCCCTCTGCTCAGATCTTCCAGTAACTGTCCATCTCACAGTAAAAGCCCACATCTGTATGACTGCTTACATTATCTGGCCCTACAACCCCTCTGACCTGCTCTCTGTGACTCTACCCTCTCGTACTATGCCACCAACCCTTGCCTGCTTATTTCACTTCAAATTTGACAGCCATGATCCACAGCAAGGCCTATCATGGGCTTTTTCTCAGTCTGGAATGCTCTTTCCCTGAATACCTACATGGCACACAACCTTTCAATTTCTCCACTCAAATATTACCTTTCAGTAGAGCTGACTCCAGCCACTCTATTCAAAAATTACAATCCATCTCCAAACTGGTTCTCTGTATCCCCCTGTTACAGCCTTCATTTTCTCCATCATACATACTACCATCTAATATACCATATAGAATTCACTGGCTTAGTTCATTTATTGTCTGTTTCCTCCGATTAGAGCACCAGTTCCACTGGGCCAGAGGTCTGCTTTCGTTTTTGGTCTGAATTGCTCACGGTTATAACTCCAGTATCTACAACAGTAACTGACATATAATATAGTAGGCTGCTCAATAAAATCCTATTGACTAAGTGAATAAAGGAGCCCTGAATATTGACTCTTTTCTCTGTTAAAATTAAAGCTAATTAATCTGGTATTTTCATTATTTTTATGTCTTTCCTCCTCTGCATCTCTACCCGCCCATTCTTTAAAGCTTAGTTAAAATCACTTCTACCACAAAGTCTAATCTGATTACATTTACTCCTTCAGGCAGTGATTCATCAAACACTTATTAAGTGCTACAGTACTGCAGGTCTGTGCCCAGTGCAGGGGATACAAAGATGATGTAGGTTAATGTCCCTGTGCTTAAGGACTCTGCCGGGGGGCTCTAGGAGCTGGGACTGGAACATAAACAGGATTCCCATGGAATCTCTCAAGGGAAGGAGTGTTACAGAGAAGATTATTTCTTACTTTAGCTTCTAAGCTGTGAGGTCTTGGGGAGAAGGTAACAGGTCTTGGACACCTCTGAATTCTCCCATAAGGTACTCACTAAATGTCTGCTGGATAAAGAAATAAGTACAATGTACTTTAGGAAGAAATTTTGCTTTAATAGAAAAAAAAATTTAACTTGGGTTGAGTATGTTTTGGTTCATTATGAAATGTAGCAGTGTAGGGGTCTTCTTTTGAGGATGGGATGTTTATTATTCTTCCAACAGTCATCCCGCAGGCCCCACCCTCAGATCCATAACCAAAGTTGTCAAACCTTTCCAAGTAGTACTAAAAATAACATTTCTTCTGGTTATGATGCTAGTACTTTTAGTAGCATCTGATTTATACCAACCAAGAAAATATAAGAACCCATATATATATGTATATGGATAAAACCTGTCCGTGGAAGTACTGATGGGCTAGAAGAAAATGTGATGGCCAAGCACACTGCCTTGGGAGCTGCAAGAGAGCTGAAGCCTGTTTAATGTGAGCCTGGGCCTGCAAAGTAACAATGACTTTCCCTTCATTTTCAGGCTACTTTTGATTTCATTCATTCTTTCAACTGAAAACATGCTGTCTCCTCAGGAATGTATTCTAATGTAAGACATTAACATGATGCAGAATGAACAAAGAAGCAGTCTTCAATAATTAAACAGCCTACATATTTAATGACATGTCTTGTGTGCATTAGATGTCCTGGTTAACAGCTGCAGACTACTTTGAAGGCAACTTAAAAGTGCAGTAATGATGAGAGATTGCAAATCATCGAATTAGGAATTAGAGAGTTTTATCCTATTAATGTGTAAACAGATTTTTTTTAAGTGTCAAATAATCTAAGTTGTTGACAAAAAAATGGAAATAACATTTTCTTGGTCCACAGGGGCACAGGACGGCAAAGGAGGCACAGAAGGTTAGAGAGGCCCACTTGAGACAAGGACCGGCCATGCCTTCATCATAAAGTTCTGTGGGGTGTGGGGCAACAGTTATGTGTTTGTAGCTGGAGCAATGTGTGCCCACCAATATCACAGCAGACACACAATGTGGAATGTGTCAGAACAGTTGGGCTTACTGACAGTTTCAAAATACATACATCGATATAATTTCCATTGATGTAGTCTGAGTTGGTATCTCCTTCTATGGTCTGCAGCCTCACCCGTGAATGATCATCTGCAAAGGAAAAAGAAAACAGTGATTAAAAGCAATCTGTTGGGCTGCTCAGAGCCCCAGAATGTAAGCATATTACATGGAGATCAACTGCATCCATGATGCTTTAAAGATAAACAAAGAATTAAATACTACACACCTTCTACACTTCCTATTTTGCTCTTAAAACTAGGAAGAATTTATAATTATTTGCATTTTACAGCAATTCTCATTAACTTATTCTTTGATCATTCACAGGCGTGAGGCATTGGCAGAGGTTTGAAACTTCCACATTGAGTCCTATGAATCACAACAGACTTATTTCTCGGATTGAAGGTGTAGCATCTTCCCTAAATCACATATAAACCCTGAGATTTTGACAGCTGCCTACGATATCCACCTTGACAAATGATGGTTATAAACCATGGCCCTGCCTTCTGGAAGGTGCAGACATGAACCTAACCGGAGCTGTCCCTGAACTCCCTAAGCCACTCTCTGTACCATGTGTGTGAGACTCAAAGTCAGGTGCGCAGGTTAGAATACCCCACTTGGGGTCTGGGGCACGTTACTACAGCTCTCTGTGCTTGAGTTTTCTTATGTGGAGCCTGGGGATTAACAGTGTCCACCTCAAGGGATTATCATGAGCATTAAAATAAAATTGAAAAGAAGATTAGAAGAGAGCCTGGTATATAGTAAGTGATGGATAAATGTCAGCTGTTGCCGCTGTCACGTGCTGTGTAACAGACACGCGGACTGTTCTTCTCACTATCTGTACAGCTGTTGCCCCCACACACGAGAGCAAGCCAGGAACGGACCCATATGCAGTCGAAATTTTCCTTGCGGTGACCTACTCTAAGATCTAGTTTCTCAGAGCACATTTTGCTTAAAACCAGAGGCCCCCCGTGCATATTTTTGCTGGGGGCATGGGGGAGGTGAGTCACTAGGGTGCTGGGGATGTGCGGATTGTTCTGGCTTTTGTATTTGTTAGGAGAGCTGGTGCGCACACACAGCTACCGCGGAGCAGGGCGGTAAGCAATTCTGGCAGTAAAGCCAGAATGAGAGATGCTCCAACAGACCTGAATCATGGCCATTCTGCACACATCAGGCTTTTAGTCAGCTCCTCTGAAGGGAGATGAGGTCCGCCTTCCTGTACTCCTTGTACTTTTCCTGAGCAGTGTTTTTAAAAGGCAGGCATCATATTAGAGGCCCCCAATCTTCAGAAGCAGTGCTGTCTTAGGATCTATTGTACCTCCTTGTCAGAATCCCCCCTCTCTCACACTTTATTTCTCTTAGAACCTCAGGATGAATGCCGCCCATTCCCTGTGATTTACCACCTTGGGCTTCTCAAATTGTTCTGCAATGTTCTACAAAGGGACTTCAATCTCTGATAAGACTCCACTCTCATCTCCCATAAACAGAGCCTTTGAAATAAAGAGTTCCCCCATCATCTCCTACTGTTCAGTTGGTTACCTCTCTCCCTCAATCTTTTTTTTTTTTTTAAACTTGGCTGCTATTTCTCCACATGTAATTGCTTTACTCTCCTCCTGATGGGGAAACCCACAAGACATATGCCGAGTGTATTTCCTTAAGCAGACTGAGGCTGTTTTATTTCTCTTTATAGGCACAGTAGTATCTTCTCCTTATTCTAAAGTTGATTTTACTAGATTATAACCTCTTGGGGTCAGAGACCATGTAGTGTCCGTTCTGAATATCCCTGTGAGCACCTTTCACCCAGGCCATACTGCCTAGCTCCACGGCCTCTCTTCACAGCACTGCCTGCATACACAGTAGGTGCATGCAACGCCTTTACCTCTTCACCCCACTAACAAATGCCCTGTCTCGATAGTCACTGTCTCAATGGAAGAAGGGGCAAGTTGTGGTCAGGTGAGGTTCACTGGGGCTTTCTGGGGTCCTGTTTGGACTTGCTTAGTGGTTTTATGAGTGTTGGCTTTAGATCACATCTATTAACCTGTATTTGGGCTTTATGCCCTGTTTTGTACCTATATTTCACTATTTAAAAATAAAAGGGTCCACCTTGAGGGCATTATGCTATGTGAAATAAACCCAACCCAGGGCAAATACTGCATGATTCCATTTCCATGAGATACTGAGAGTAGTCAAATGCACAGAGACAGAAAGAAGAAAGTGGTTGCCAGGGGCTGAGGGGAGGTGGGGAATAGGGAGCCAATGTTGAGTAGGTACAGACTTGGGGAAGATGATCTGGCAGTGGGTGGTGATGGTTGCACGACAATGTGAGTGAACTTAATGACCCTGAACTGGACACTTACACGTGGTTAATGTGGTAAGTTTCATATTATGTTCATTTTACCACAATTTTTAAAAAAGTAAGGGTCCACTTTTTCCAGCCCTCCCTTGTAGAATACCCCTTCAAGTTCCACTCTAAGGTTCGGTGTCCTGAGAAACAGGTCCCTCAAAGCTGGGAAGGACATGTCACAGACTCAGTCTTGGAGGCCTGGGGAGTTCCCCTGTGACTCCCCGTGCCCAGATGAAGTAGACGCAGGGGTGACAGTGACTCTAGAGTGCGCCACTAGAGGACAACTGTAGTACATTACTGATGTGTACTCAGGAGATGGCTTAGGAATCACTGCAATGAGGTTTAGGAGGTATTTTTCCTTTCAGTGATAAAATGAGTGAATATTGATAAGTCAGTGTCTCTTAAGGCAGGGAGAGAGAGAGTTTAGCGGGGAGAATGGGCTTAATCTCTCAGAGATTAGCTTTGGTGTCCCAGAGACCCTGATTTGAATACTGGCTCTCTACTACTCCCCCAAATTGTGAACTTAGACAAACTCTGAATCTCGCTGAGCTCCATCTGTAAAAAGAGGTTGATGATCCTTCCGAGGATCGTTGGGAAGACCAAGTGAGAAGTACATGTCAAGTGCATGGAATATAGGACAGTTTCCATTAAAAAGGAATTACCCCGCTTATGTGAATAAAAGTGACATTCTTTGGGCCCCTGGGTGGCTCAGTTGGTTAAGCGACTGCCTTCGGCTCAGGTCATGATCCTGGAGTCCCAGGATCGAGTCCCGCGATCGAGGCCCGCATTGTGCTGCTCCCTGCTTGGCGGGGAGTCTGCTTCTCCCTCTGACCCTCCTTCCTCTCATGCTCTCTGTATCTCATTCTCTCTGTCTCAAATAAATAAATAAAATCTTTGAAAAAAAAAGTGACATTCTTTTTGTTTAGCAATTCAAACTACAAAGAGCCCAGGACGCTTGTTTGCAGGTCATTGGAAGAGGATAAAACTGCACCCTCTAAGCAGCTAATCTTTGGGAAAGATGAGCTTGAGCTAGTTTTAAAGAGGAAACAGGATTTCCAAAAAGATTTGGAAATAGGATGAATACTCGAAAATAGCTCCTACATCTTAATTCCCTGGCATCAATTCAGGAACTTGTCTTTTTATTTAAAATTTTTTTCTTAAATCAAGGTATAACTGACATATAACATTACATTAGTTTCAGGTGTACAGCATAATGATTCGATATTTGTATATATTGTAAAATGATCACCACGGTAAGTCACCAGATAAAGTTACACATTTTTTTGTTTATTGTGATGAAAACTTTAGGATTTACTCTCTTGGCAAATTTCAAGTATGTACTACAATTTTGTCGACTATAGTCACCATAGTTACATCATGTCCCCATACCTTACTTATTTTATAGTTGGAAGTTTGTCCCACTTGACCCCCTTTCACCCGTTACACCTACCCCTCAACCCCCCTCCCTCTAGCAACCACAATATTGTATTAGTTTCAGGTGTACAACATAGTGATTCAATATTTATCTACATTACAAAATGCTCACCACAGTAAGTCTAGTTACCATCTGTCATCATACAAAGTTGATATAATATTATTGGCTATATTCCCTATGCTGTACTTTTTATCCCCATGTCTTATTTATTTTATAACTCGAAGACTGTACCTCCTAATCCCCTTCACCTATTTTGTCCTTCCCCCCACCTCCTCCCTTCTGGTGACCAACAGTTTGTTCTCTATATTTATAGGTCTATTTTTGTTTTGTTTTGCTCTGTTTGTTTTGTTTTTTTAGATTCCAGATATAAGTGAAATCATACAGTATCTGTCTTTCTCTGTATGACTTATTTCACTTAGCATAATACCCTTTAGTTCCACCCATGTTGTTGCAAATGGCAAGATTTAATACTTTCTTATGGCTGAATAGCATTCCATTATATATGGATAGATACAGATATATCTATCTGTAGATATATCTATATATCTGTATCTATCTATATGTATATCTATCTAATCTAGCTATATCTTTGCATGTGTATATATATATGTGTGTCTGTGTATGTGTGTGTGTGTGTGTATCACATCTTCTTTATTTATTCATCCATTGGTGGACACTTAGGTTGTTTCTATATCTTGGCGATTGTAATAATGCTGCTATGAACACAGGAGTACATATATCTTTTCAAATTAGTGTTTTTGTTTTCTTTAGATAATACCTAGTAGTGGGGTTGCTGGATCTTATGGCAGTTCTGTTTTTAATTTTTTGAGGAGGCTCCATACTGGTTCATAGTGGCTGCACCAACTTACATTCCCACCAACAGGACATGAGGCCCCCCATTTTGCCATATGCTTGCCAATACTTGCTATTTCTTGTCATTTTGAGAACAGCCATCCTCACAGGTGTGAGGTGTTATCTTACTGTGGTTTTGATTTGCATTTCCTTGATGACTAGTGATGTTGAACATTTTTCATGTGCTTGTTGGTCATCTGCATGTCTTCTTTAGAAAAAATGTTTATTCAGATCCGCTGCCTATTTTTAAATTGGATTGTTTGTTTTTTCGCTGGGTTGTATGAGTTATTTATTATGTTGTGGATATTAACCCCATATTGGATATATGATTCACAAATATTTTCTCCCATTCAATAGGTTGCCTTTTCATTTTGTTGATGGTTTCCTTTGCTGTGCAGATGATTTTTATTTTGATGTAGTCCCATTTACCTATTTTTGCTTTTGTTGCCTTTGGAGTCAGAT